CGGTTGTGTGTTCTATAGTCAATAGTTGCATATAAATCACTTTCCCACTAGGTGGTATAGTAGCTGATGAGCTCTCTTCAATGTGCTGAATTCAGTCTAAAGTCTTGCAATGTTCCGTGAGAAGTGTGAAAAGCCTAACTGATGAGCCGAAGGGCGTTTAATGACCATTCAAAAACGAGATGGCCCAATATCAAACAACTAAATGCATTAACTGATCAATTCTCCAAATGTTTTTTTTTTACTTCAGAGATGAGTGGAGATTCAGAAAAAGAATGACCAAAAAAATGTTTTTTACATCTTAAACAAATTTCAGTTTTATGACTATCGAATTTTTCTATTCTATATGGTAATAGAACTCTTTGGATCAAAGAAGATGAAAGTTTTACGTGGAAAAACTTATTTTCTTGGAGATTTATTTCCTCATCATTCCTGTCATTCGCCACCACCCTCATAAGTATGATGAGGTAAGTCACGATTAAGGGGAGGCACGTAATTAAGGTGAGGTCACTTCGCACATCGGCGCGAAGTAATGTCAGTCGTGAGTAACGTCGCACACCCAGAGTTCATAGGAGGCAAGAGTCGGTCTGTTAGGCCCTTGGCGATAACAGTTAAACCTTGACACTTTTATGGGTGGTGTAGGGCATGTAGGCTGTTGGCAAAGGGTTCATAACTACTGACAAAGGCTGATAAAGGGCGTCCTAGTAATGAAGCCCTGAGCCACACCCTCTTTTCTCTCTCCTTATCGGAACCGCGCTATTCATTGTGGGTGTAGGGAAAGACTGTATCGCTAGGCATGACAAAAAAGGTAACAGCTGAAGAAAATGGACTAGGGACCTTGTCAACTATACTGCGGTCACTACTTATATGCTTTGCAACCCGATAAAAACTCGACTCTTCATTCCGGTATCAGCTTGAATAAAAATTATGCGACTACCTGTCTCCAAGATTGCTTGTGAATAGCCGAATAGTTGTGAAGGAAAGGATACTTATAAGCAGCGATTACTTCCTCGCTGGTAATGCTGTCGTAGTCAGCAGACAACATTAGTAATGGGTTGATGCATGATTACTGCAGATTTTTTCAAATTTTATTTGTTTGAAAAAAAAAGTCGATAAAAATATTTGACAAAGGCGTGTTCAAATAGCTACTCTGGACGCGTCCACCATCTACGTCAAGCACTGCTAGGAAGAGTGATTCCACAGGCGAAGAAGTTTTTATTCTTGGAGGTGATCCACGCCTTGATATCGGCCATAAACATCCATTTCGTCTTAAGTTCTGTTCGCTCACCCATTCCTCAACTAACGATTGACGTGATAATCCATAGGATTTTCTAATGGTTGATGTGGTGAATTTAGGAGCAGATCCCATCTCTTGCTTGGCACTGGCTGGTTGTTCCATCGACGAAAAGTTTGATGAGATCGCAAAATCACCATGCCACCTTCCAAGCTTTCTCGAAGTAGTAGAGCATTATAGGCAAATATGATGATGGTTTTTGGATGCGCTTCTGTTTAGGAAAGTGAGATGATTGTTTCTACCAAAATCCCGATCTCAATATTCAAATTGTATCGAGTTAAAAGAAGCCGCGAAAAATGATTATGCATCAACCCATTAAGTACCATTCAAGGCTTTGCTTGACTAATCACGTTGTTCAGCTATAGATATGTCGTTGCGCCGACTGACTCGAGAAACGGTCATTTCAGATCATTTCAGGAAGTTTATAAATGACTAAGATTGTTAGCACCAAACTCATAGCTCATAGGATAATCATAGCTTGTAAACGTGAAGTTTATTGGATATTAGATATCCATCCCATCGCAAAATTTATGCGGAGTTCCCATTCTCTATGACGCAAGTTGCAGTGTCCACTTTTATCCCGCGCGTTTTCATTCAGAGATCTCATGACAGGAATGTTGTGCTGTTTCAGTGAAAAGAGAAACGCCTTATGTGAGCCGAGCAATCCGACTTGATCATGACGAGGGGGGGAGGGGAGGCTCGATCCCTATTTGACCGGTACTCGACAAAATTTTTCTCAGAACTATTTCTCGGCTTCTCAGCTCTCGTACACGTTAGCAGTTCTCCTCTATTGTATATCTTCGGCTACTCTCCTCATCAAGGCAGCTGCAGAGTTTATGATTTTCATTATCAAAAGTTCACCTGATGCGCATTGGGATAAGTAATCGAAGATAAGGATTCTTCTCACAAGTAATACTCGCTAGCCTCTCAACAACAACTTTGAATAATTCGTCATCTTTGCCAACCATGGCTTTTTTGTCGAAAGAGTGACACACACAATTAGATGACTGCTTCACACAGTTTCTTATGTGTTAGCCCTGTATCCTATATACATCCTCTACCTCGGCCTTCTGGCTGTGATAGCTAATCTCTACTATTCACCACTTCCTTCGAATCATATCCCAATCTCCAAATTGGAACAGCTTAGTTACTGTTTCTGCTCACGCCCAAAGTCTAGGGATATGAACATGATCAACATGATTAGGCTTTACATCCTACTCCAGAGTCGTCGATTATTGACCTCAATCTTAGTTTGAAGAGGGAATTACTCCTGAAGAAAATGTTGTTTTCCTCTCATAGGGCTCCCGCTTAATCTAGCCGTTGAGTTCGAACAATCCTCTGCATGTGAATCTCGTCTGATTACCACATCATTGCCCACGTTAGCCTTTAAAGAGCTTTTGAATAGCTTGCTTTATTTGCTGAATTTATTGCAGTGTGAAATTTTTATAGTTGATGAGGAAAGTATGCGTTTATCCAGCCTCCGTTCCGCTTTGAGCAACAGAGTCTTTCGAATTTTAGTCACTTAATTTTTTGAGAAACGTTGACCAATTCTTTACTACCCCTCCCCTTGTTGATGAATTTCTTCTGTTCCGATCAGTGATAGTCGAATTTGTTGACCACTAAGGTTTCCGTCATGTTGCTACTACACATTATATCGTGTGAAATTACTTCGCCGATGTATAGTGTGCAACGTGTTCGAGACAATGGAGATGGGCAAGGAAGGTGTCCGCTATGGAATGCGGGGTATGGGCAAACTGCGCGGCGAAATGCGTGGCGATTCGAACGACTCAGGCGTCTAATATCGGGGCACAAACTCGAAGTAGAGTAGTTTATTAGGGTCAGATGATCCTTCCAATCTACTCTGCTTCAAATTTGGGCCACAATGATAGGTACCGAAATCGTCCGAGTCGCCACGAACTTGGCCGCGCAGTTTGCCGCGCGCATCCACGGAATCTTGTAAGTTCCGTCCCCCTGGAATGCGCAGCGTTAAAAAATGAGCCGCAAACCGTGCCTTTCCTGCTGCTTTTTGACGTACTTTTACTCACAGTCTTCTTTTACTCTTTTACTTTTCGCCCACAACACCATCTTTGTTCATTACAGTTTTAGCAGTCAGTCATCATGGAGGGCGACAGTTCCGTGTCACAAGCACAAATAGAAACCCGTAAAGCTAGGGTAGAGGGATCCCTATACAACTTCGGTAATGCGAGGCGGCGTGCGTAATACACCGCCATTTGGAAGATTATTTTTTGTAGTTGCTTCATCATGGCCTTCCATTAGATTTCCAACTAGAATAACATTCAAATTGCAGATGACGATCTCGCCGTATTCAAGAGGAAGATGGCAGTGTTCAAGCAGTGTACCCTTCCGATGTTGAAATCACTGGACGAACAAGGATCACTGAAAGTGGTCAGTTGTCATTGTAGTATTTATGACTGCTACACGCTTTAATGTTAAAAAATCGTTGAAGTTGAGTTCCTTGATTTGATAGGCGAATACTTTCAGTCACTTGTGCGCAAAGCCCATCAAAAGCATACCCTTGAATTAATTCTATTCAAGCAATTACTCTGGCGAAGATGAAACGACCATTGCTAACGATGACTCCGCCTTACTACATTACGACGGTATTTGCTACAAAAATTCCACCCTACTTGGTGACGGCTTCTGTTTCTGTTCTTGTATAAAACATGGAAACAAAAATGTCGAAAGAATTTTACGGTGCCCAGTTCCGATAGGATCAAACCAGGACATCTCGGGAATCTTTCACCACTTGTCGTCAGAACTCTGGCTGGACTCTTTCGGAATGCAAAGTGTCCACGACGTAGGGAACTAGCAAGTCTGTGCTGCTGTACCTTGGACTCTGCGAAAGCAGGATGAATATGCCGCCAGCCTCTGAACGTGCCTTGGAAAGGACGATGCTCAAATTTCCCTATCCACGCAAGTACAGAAGGCAATCCGAAGTTTCGAGCTCCGTCAACGAATGGAGATCAAGGGTGTCGTTCTTTATGCCAAGAATTCAAGATAAAGGGGGTCAAAGTGAACGGCGTAACGTTCCGACGTAATCGTCGTCTTCAGAGGCCAAGCTCCACCGTTAGAGCGGAGAGAATCCGCTCTGATAGTGGAGTCGCTACTGTCAGTCGCTCGTGGCGACAGCAAATTCTTTCCACTCTGACGGTGGAGCCTGGCCTCTAAAGACAACAATTATGTCGAAACGTTAAGCCGTGAACTCACTAAAGTGTTTCATCTAAAGACCTCGAACGGCAGACGAATCTCAACATTACAATGGAGAGTGTTCGATCCCAGATTTGATACTCTTCGTTGCCTATATGCCAACAATGAATAAGACAAAAATAAGGTGGAAGTGTTTTATATGGAAACAGAATAGCCTCACAAAGGAACTTAGCTTCTTCCCAGTCTGCCGTCGGCGATTTCCATCTCAGTATTGACTGGGAAGCACGTCTGTACGCTTCACATCGGAACCTACATGAAGAAATGATCACACAGAGTGAATGCTGTGCTAGTTCATCATGTTGACTACATGACCCGTGGTAGTTAGCGATCCAGGGACGTTGTTTCAGCGATCCAGGGTCGTTGTTGTTCAAGCAAGAAATCGAAGGTCGGTGAGTCGCACAAATAGCCGTCGGACATATTGTTTGTCTTGCCGATCAACACCATCTCAGCAACTCTCGTTCCCATAGGCCTCTTCAATCACGTAAGACTTTTGAATAAGCTGGTGAACTGCTTAGAAATAAAATAGACTACCTCATGATTGACCGAATGTTTTCCTGAACTGAGTCGCCATTCCGAAACTTCCCACAGGTTTGAACCACTGTCTTCTCCAAGGTAGATTCCACTTTTACATGGAGAAAACCGCTGGATCCGTAAAACTAACCTTATGATTGTAATGATCACTCCGCTCTTTTTGTGAAATTATGGAAAGATTTCGTTTGACAAAACATTGATGAGAAGTACAAATGGCTTATCGGAAGGGGATAAGCAGTCGTTGTAAATTACAGCCAAAGGAGCGAGTGCTGTGCAGGAGGATTCACTACGATTGATCACATCAAACAATCGTACGACTCACCAAAATGTCGCTACACCTTACGTTCATCGCTTTCGAGAAGGCCTCCGGCATTTCGATGCAGGAGTCATCGAAATCTGGGTGGCTGGGATATCACTGTGCGGTACTGCGCTCCTGCCAAGCCTTACTGCACTAACATGTCTAAATGTTCTGGCTACGGTTTACGTGAACTTGAGTTGAGCGTTACCTACGATCCAACTTAATAACAACTTCAATGTGGATCTTGACCATCTCTGTATCAACTTCACGAGCGAAATTTCGCCATTACGCCATTGTCAACGTGAAGGGAGGAAATTAGCAGGACGATATTGTCGCGATCATGTCGTTCAATGCCGCTCTCAAGAACATCATACGCTTATCAGAGTGAGAAGTCATAGGAGTACAGGTCGACGGCATGCAGATACATCCAGCTCCGGTTTCTTGTGAATGGCATTGAGTTTATGGAGCTGAAAGGCGAATGAGTTCGATCGCGCTTGTAGAGAGGTCGCAACAGGATCCACGAAGACGATGTAGGTGAGAAACGAAATCATTTCCGTGCTAATGTTACGGTCTACCGCCCTCACACTCTAATTGCTCTGGCTGGGTATATTCAAGTCGAGAATATCCTTCTTCACTTGCACGCTCCAACATCTTTGAATTACCTAGCTGTGTATACTTGGGTGGAGAAGTCAACATGATGATCAGTCAAGCTTCTGAGCAGAGCAGGAGACGAGTGACCAAGGGAAGGAGTAGTGAGTAAGACAAAGAATATTTAGCTCCATTTCAAGGTTCCGATCACTCGTGCAACCTTGTTGCGTGGGCAAGAGGAGCACGCAGTCCTCGACAGGCTATAGCTACCGGTCATTAATGATGGAACTTACCGAATCCTTAAAGGAGATCAAAGTAGGTGCAAACTGATGTCTGTTCTGATCCTTTGCATCGTATAGGAAGAGCAGATGCGGCACCTGAAGCTTTTCTTCTACAGCAATGGCAACGCGGCTCAAGCCGCATAGAGACATGTGAAGTTCAAGTAGACAATGTTCTACGGGAACATACGTGAGTTTTTGCGAAATTTAAACAATGTGAATTTACCATGGAGATTTGTAACGCACCGAGATGCTATCATCAATTAAAAACGCCCAAATTAAAAATAGCAGATCCCTGCTAGTGAAATGGGAGGGAGACTTCGTGTTCCGAAATCAAATCGGTCTCTTCCAACAGTATAACTCCAGACCACACGTATTTTTGGTTACTGTCCAAAAATTGCTGAAGCGTGGGTGGGATGTCTTACCACATCCTTCATTTGCTCTGGACATAGCACCACCCACCAGACTACAATTGGCTTAGGTTCTTGCAGAGTTCTTTGAAAAATCGTTCAATCCGCCGGAGGACTGCACAAAGCACCTGAGAGTGTTTTTCGATTCTAAGTCTAGAACCTTCTATGAAGGTAGGATAATGAAACTCTTGGAAATATTGTGAATCATTTAGAGATAGAATTTCGGCATGATGTTTGATGACTGGATTTGTTTCTTTAGAAATTTCCACTCAAAGATACTCGAAAATCAGAGGAGATTCTCTGACCGACCCAATATAAGGAATCTTCGTGAGCTTTACAACAACTTCGCGACAAAAATTCCACCATTCTTGAAGAGGTCGTTCTGACTGTGAAAGTAGGAGACCGTCACACCGATACCATTTTGCCCAAACTTCTCAGCGCCGCACTAAAGAGTATTTCAACGCCAAGGAATCGATGATTGGTGAGCCGTACACGTCATGCGATACTGCGGACGAAGACAGTTCTCTTCACCTCTCGTTACGTTAATCGAATACCAGGATGATCACCAGCGCAATTTGCAGACTTCAAAAAGGATCTGAATAATAGGAATGCTATGCCCCTCGTCCCTCGAACGATGACGGTTTGGACTAGTCTGGCTTGCGACAACGACGAATGTAGACGTAAAAGGCGCAGGCAAAAAAGTGAATAGGAAAAATGATTTATTAAAAAGAAGAAGTGAGGGATCTCGGCATTTCCCGAGAAAACTCAAAGGACTCCATAATCCCGAGTATTCAGAGACCAAAGGAGTGAGCAAATCTATATGAGAACATATCAACCTGTCGAGTTTAGGAGAAATGAGAGTGTAATAAGCAAAAATGTAGGTAGTAAAAATTATTTTGTAGAAAGAATGTGTGAGGAATCTTCGCTGAGAATCCGCAAACACTCAGGAGACTCCACGTTCGGTCTTCTTGAAACCTGGGTATGTTGCATAATGTTTTGCAGTGTTTTGCCGTTCAGGTTAGCTAAGGTAGAAACCGCTATATTTGGTCGACGTTTCGACTATCTCGTCGTCCTCAAGGACCTGAAAGCAGCTTGAAGCTTCTGATCTGTAGCTTACCCAACCAAGCGCCCAAACGCGCTAGCCCAGTTGCAACAGAAACAGAAACTTGAACACCAAAAGATCCCAACCGAGAAACCAACCTTCTGCGGTTCCACCAACGCTCCCACTCGATTCGGTGAACAACAAGAGATCAATGAGAAACCGTTGACGGTCGTTGGATAAGAGTTGCGCGATGTTCTCGAAGCCCACAGAGAGGAATGAAGGATAGAAATTTGCCTGTTATGACAATGCACTCATTTCGGTTGTTCAGCTCAAAATTTTTCTCGCGAATATGCAACGCTTCCAAGATCTTTCTTGCACCGATCTCGTTCTCGTAGGTTAGGATTTTGCATTTAATATCAAAATCATTGCCTTTGTGTACTTCTAGTCGATGCTTCCCAAGTAGTGTAAATAGGCTTTCACGCCCTTTACCTGCTAGATGTTCTTTGACACGTATGCCTAGCATCCTTTCCGTCTCACCAATATATATTCCATCACAGCCCGAGCACTGAAGTTGGTACACTGTCCCTCGCTGTGTGCAACCAATACCTTTTCCAGGCGAACAAATAACACAGTTATTCGTAAAACATGCACGATCATAAAGTCTATTGCGGATAAGATGACGTTTGATATTGCCCGTTGGTAGGTTTACCAAGACAACATCATTAGCCAAATTCGCCATTCGACAGGAAGCTTTCGGAGTCGTATAAGATCACTGATTGGTTCCTCACGGAGGAGTGAGGAACCAATCATTGATAAAAATTACTGAAAAAATGTATGGAGCACACCTGTTGTTCACAAACTGCATACCTCATACATGGTGCATCTCTGCAAGCAGATGCTCGATTCAATTTTCAGACGCATGACTGTTTTTTTTTCTCGAATTTTAGAGAAACAGTACGAGTGAGATGTGCAGTTTGTGGCAAAATGTGTGCTTCACACATTTTTCAAGGTTTTTCTATTATTGTTTGGTTCCTCACAGGAATCTCATATACCTCTGACATCTTTCTGTTAAGCGTTTCTCAACGTTCCAAATTAGACAGAGTCATACAATTAACATGCAGAGCCACTGTTTCTCGAGTTGGTGCGACGTGCGCAAAGAAAGCAGAGGCGTTCACTTAACGAATATCAGGAAAGATTTCGAAAGTCTCTAATGAAACAAAAGAACAGTGTGTAAAAGTTCCGACGATAGCGGGAAGCAAACTTGCACCTTGAGGCTGAGAATCGGAAAACACTCTCAGGTGCTTTGTGCATTCCTCTAGCGGATTGAACAATTTTTCAAAGAACTATGCAAAAACCCAAACAAACAAAATTACGTGTGACCTGGAGTTATACTATAGGAAGAAAACGTCCTTACAATTGTCTGGTCCTGGACGCTTCTGGTCTATCGCTGCCGTCATATTTTCTAGCTGAGTGCATTACCTTTCTGAAGTTATCGTCTGACTATGCGAACACAGTTCATAATAAATGATTCCCTTCCAGTCACACCAGCAACACAGCATAATATTACACACCTGCATTTTGAATTTTGGAGTGGTTTGTGACGGCACACTGGAAAGGCTTCACGATTGCTTCCGCTCCACGCTGTTGTACACGATCCACTTTTCGTCCTACCCCCCTCCCCCCCCCCCCCCCTTTATGCGTTCCGGAAACTGTCTTTTTTCGTTTGAGCAACGAGAGGCCCACGGAGGCGCAGTCCATCACATTGTGCTTTCTCACCCAGGTACCCAAAACATCAAGGCTCTTGACAAAGCCAAGTTCCAGCAAATGGCTGATTTCTGAACACAAAGTCTCCTATTTCACGAGTAGTGACCTGCGTATCATTTCGATTAACGTTTTGATTTGGGCGTTTTAACTGAAGACAGCAACTTGGAGATCTTCAGTGGTGAATTATGAATTAACACTGTTCAAATATCGCAAGCAACTCACGCACTGTTCCCCTAGAACATTGTCTACTCAAACTTCAAAAGTCTCTATCGCGGCTTCAGCCGCGTTGCCATCGCTGTAGAAGAGAAGAATCAGGTGCCGAAAATGCACGCGATGGTCCTCGACTCTCACTTGAGCCTTACACAGACAGAAAGACTCAGAGGATGTTCACAGATTCTGGACAGAGATATGAAGAAAGACATGGCTGCTTCAGAAAATATATGACTATGAAAGGTCAGGCTCCTAATATCCTGTACAACAGATGATAAGCCCTGGGTGTTCAAAAACGGCGGGAACTTCCCGAACAACCCGATATATTGAGAACATAGTTAACATACTCAATTCAAGTTACCGTTAGGACTATGAGTGGCAGTGAAATGCGGGGGCGAATAGCAGAAGCGACTTTAATTCATGTCAGATAGATTTTCGAGAAAAAAGACATATTGAACCACTGACGAACCTCATTCGACGTTTAATTCATGATTGTTACGTCTGCCTTCGTTGTTCAGCTGCACAGGATATTGCGTCCCTGACACAAAATTTCAATTCCTGCTCACAAGTATGCTCTTCACTCTGTTTCTCGAGCTCTACTGTATCATTGTCACTCCGTCCTTTTTATATGATGCAACGAACCAAGATAGGCATTATTTCGTACCCAATCTGACCTCCTGCATTGAGACGGTAAGTTTCACCATTCTTGACCGATAGCTTACACTCTGTAGAAGTCGAATTTATCTGGCTGTGCTCATTTGGCAGTGTGGTATGCGCATCATGTCATCAATTCGAAATTTACAATCCATTGATATTGGTTTTGGTCACTTATCACGATATTCTGTTTTGATTGGCTCGAATATTATGCAGCTAAAGGCTGGGGGGTTTTGGATTGATGAGAAGGTCGAAAGACTTAAAGTCCTCCTCCTTCTACTGTTCACATAGGACGACGAATACAGCCGCACACAGACCATGTATACGGTTCATCCTCCAGATACCCGAATTTCAATATTTCCGTGCACATGCTCTTCGGGAATAAATCTTCTTTCTATAAGCAACCCCACGTATGATTTTGGTTTGCTTTTGGCATATTGAACAAACTCAAATTAAGGTGGAAGGCGACTCAGATCTCGACACAGTGTTCAAGGACGCATCGTATGTCGTCAGTCAGACACTGTTCCAAGGTGGGAGCATTTTTGCGGTGTTTGCCTCCACTCTATCTGAACCCTGTAATTATAGAGAGAATGTGTGGTCAGCTGTTTACGCAATTTAACAACTGAAATCCCGTCCAAACACTCATTGCATAGCATTTCCATTATGGTATTTCCGTACAATCTCTTTTCCTACCGACAGGGAGAATTATTTTTGCAATTCTGGCGGATTTCTTGGTTTGAAGAGGGTACCTCGAAACTGTCGCGTACTCTGCCTTTGAGGAGAGTTTCGCATTTTTTGGGCATGAACTCTGATCAATTCAATTGTTCAAACTCAGCGAAAAAAAATTCGAGATGTCTCTTGAATACTTGCAAAAGTTCCAGTGGATAGATGGCAAAGCCCATGTTGGTGATGAAGTCTGTCTCGTGACGCGTCATGTTCTGGGTCAGCAGTGGCCATTGCTTTCGCCATATTAAAGGCACAGTCCACAATGAAATTGATTCTCTAGTTTCCTCTAAGACGAGCCTCTAGCTCACAAGAATGGCACATGTTGTAGGGTCAAAAAAGATGTTGGGTCAAATGTTGTAGGGTCAAAAAACGAATCTGGGCATAATAGTCGCTCGGAAACGTTCTCCATTATTTGCCCTACGCAGAAGTGGCCCCCTTTTTCAAGTTATTTGAAGGCCGTACTACCCAAAGAGGATTATAAATGCGTGCTGGAAAACTAGTATTAACCTAATCGTTTGATTCGTTGGAAAAGAATAATAGCGAATAGCGGACACCAGCTAAATGAAGGTCGCAATAGCACAAAGTTTCGATTGCATGCATTTCCGACTTAAGTCAACGGTGAAGGGCGAATTTCGGATTCCCTGCTCATTGTGGCCAGCTCGTTACTCAACTGCATGTGACCAGAATCTCGTCCAGGTATCCTTTCCACACCACAGATGCAATCTCCTAGTTTTGCTAGCTCTGAAGAACTTCGTATTTTGCAAACATTGAGAATTAGTTGCGCATCAGCCTCAAGCGCTAATTCTGCACCGAGGATCCCGCTATTTGTCCTGAAAAAAATACCTCATTGTTGCCTATGACGGTGCCTTCAAGTGTTCTCTAATATCAGATCATTTCCGTTTCACGATTGAAGTATCTAGTATAGTAGTGGCGCTGCAGCTCGCGATGAATTTAAATTCTGTGAGGATTCTATCACCAAACAACTCGTCCCTCCTTCTAGATTAGTTTCTGAACAAATCGTATTAATTTTTTCGGCTTCACTGTTCAATCGTGCTAACAATGAGCTTCAGCAATTCCCTTATTCCCCTCATGACCCTGAGATAACTCATCTTCTAGACAGTTGCTGCGAAGCTATTCTGACATTGTGCAAAACGCTTTGTCCCTCTCTAGACCATGGAAAGGCTAGACTCCGTCTACACGGTTTGAACTTCTGTTTCGAGACCAAGATATTCTTTTTGTTCTTGCAGTTTTCTTTCATTCATTATAGTGATCGATTAGGCTTATCTCAGAATTTAGGTACATGAGGGCTTATGAGATTTTTTGCAGAAATCACGAATGCATATTATACGCTTCCCCCATATCATAGGTTAAGCTTACGTTCGACAACTTCGGGCTCAGAATGAATTGGATACCGTTGGCACTTGTTACTACTCAAAGCTGGTTTATTGAAGCAGGCATTACGTGCAATCACTGCCAGAGGACCCCCCCCCCCC